CAAATAGCAGCCCCCTCATTTTCAATTTTTATGGCTCTTCATTCTGGTATTTCTCTCCATTTGTGAAACACTGTGGTTGTACTACTATTTCCTGATTTTCAGATTTAGATTATTATTTGGGGAGTACTTCTTATGTAAGATGAAGATTTAGCTGTTTAATATACCCCCAAGTATCTTCTTATAAAGCAAATATTAATATGTCTCTAACCCCCAGTTGAGAGCCTGAGTCCAGCAACTCAGCACAATGACCGCTGAAGCAATGACAATGCTTGACACAGATTCTAGATTAGCCTGCTCTAGAAGTATGCATACACCACTGCAGCTGCATTCTCCCAAGATCATTTAAAAATTGTCCTTGTCTATTTCTGAAGAGGCTAACATTTAAAAATGATTTTAGAATTCTGCAGCAGTAAATAAACCACTAGGTTTTAATGGACCAAACCCTACCAACAGGAGTTTGGGAAACTGTTCATTAAATGACCATAAAACCTGGAGGCTCTCCAGTTCTCTACGACTCATTTTCTCCACTCCCATGCCCCATGCCCAATAACCCCCCCTTCCTTGCTGGCTCCAAACCCTCTGGCCTTGAGAGTCCTCAACTGCAGGGCTCTGGAGAAAGTCAGTCCTAGGCTAGAGAGCAAATCAGCTCAGCTTATCCACATAGCTGAAGTTCTCATAGCTCAGTTTTACATGGACTTCCTCAAGATATGCCAGTTACCAGAAGTACAATGGGGAATGACTTCAGGAGCTTTCAACTCTGTCCCTCTCAAGTCTCCCCAGCCTGGAGTGGAGGGAAAGTTGTCCATCAGAGGCACCAACAAGAGTGTGCTAACTCTTGGCAATGGCAAAACACTCCCCTGCCACAGAACGCTAACCTTTTTCTGTTTCGGTTGCTGCTTTATATGCTTTGCATTATTTGGCTTACAGATTTGTACCAAATGGCTGAGATGCTGGGATTCCTTCATACATCCATATTTAATGCAGGCTACACCCTTACCACCCAGGTGTTTGTCCTCAACTGGATTCACCATTGTCACTGAAGTCCCCCATGGAGCAGAGGGGGCTATGAAGGGACCCTGCTACAAAGGAGAGTTGATGGGAAGGCAAGGAGAAGGCCGAGCAGACAAAAGCTTACTGTGAATGACGACGGGGAGCTCAGATCCTAACTGGAGCTGAGTAGAGAACACAGCTAAAAAATACAATATGAACCTACTGAGAATCCCTCAAAATCACCCACCTTTAACTAGTCCCTGAGGATAACAATAAAGCAAATGAATAAAATATGAAAACCTAAGATTGTTACTATACCCATCTGGGGTTCATTTTATCAATTTATTGAGCACCCAGAGAGCAAAGCTTTACTGGGTTGTAGAGGCTACAATGATGAATAACCTGCCTATGATCTAATTAGATGAAGACTCATTCATTCAGCAAATAAAGTATGAAAGAAAAAAAGAAAGGGCAGGCTTTCCAGTGGCAAGAGAGAAATAAAAAACATTGTATAGTGGTAAAGTCTAGGCAAAAAGAAAAAAAAAGAGAGAGAAAGAAATAAAAAACAAAGTGCTATGGGATTTTAAAGGAGAAAGAACAATCATGACTGCTTGAGGAAGAAATATTAGGACACATGAATGGAATAGATAGGCCAAAACTCAGAGGGTCAGAGCAGCTGCTATTCAGGAGTTTCTGGCAGTGGCCCCGGCAGGAGGGATGTGGACAGGCCCGGGCTGGGGTCAGTGAGACGGGAAGGAGAAGCAAGGCGAGGCTGCAGGGGCAGTGGTCCCGGCACCTGGCAGCAAAGTGCAAGGCCGAGCACTTTCCTCTGAGGAATGTGACACGGTTCTAGAAGTTAGGACAGGCTGATTTGAAGGATAACCATGAGAGCTGGGAAAGTGTGAGCAGAGACAGCCATACTTTGCGAAAACACAAATCCAAACAACCACTCCCTAGGGAGGTACCCCTTCCCCCACGCTTTACTCCTAATAAAGTAGAACATTAATTAAGGAGTGCTTATGCTCTTGTGCATCAATATATTGTTCACAGTATCCTGTCTTCCTCCTAGCCCCAAGGAATCTCCTGAAACAGAGGGAAAACTCTGGTGCCAGTGGCAGAAACAGAAAAGATTAACACCCCTGGTTCCTCAAGTTACAACTCTGAAGGTTTTCCCACACGTGCTGTTCTCTGAGAAAATTATCATCATTCTGGTCCATCATATGTTTGTAAGAGGGTCTTAACACCATCTATAACCTTTCTCTGAAAATGAGTTCTAAGTTCTAAATATGATATCTGTCTTACCAATAAGTTTCAGAACACAACAGAACTTGGGAAACTGTAGACTACACAGGAGTTAAAGCAGTTGCTCATATCTTTGGCTCTGGGTTTTAGACATCTGTTTTAGGGCAGAAAGTCTAACGACAGGGAGCTCATGAACAAATGGGAACCTGGTCTGTAAGCCCTGGACGACCCTCCCATTTTCCCATGGATGTGTTCCTACTAGTTAATGGCCTAATGACTGGCTTTTCTTGGTGAAAGGAGGCAACTATTATTAATTGGTCCTTGTTTGTAAACAAATGGAATGAAGGCAATTGATCACACACATCAGGGCCTACATGGAATGCAATTAATTGAGTTTCCAAGTGTCTGGAAGCAGCAGGGCTGCTTCTAAACTTTCTTCCAAGCATTTGGTGTTACCCTGGAGTAGCACATGGATCCCCTGTGGATTAAAGGGCAAAACCAGGAGGGATTCTGGCTTCCCTCATCCCTTTCACTCTTGCTCTCTCCGGATTCTATAAATCACTTCTGGCAGGTAGCTGGGAAGCAGCAGTGAATGACAGTTTTGCTCTGGAGCACAGGAAGCCACCTTTTACCCCGCCTGCTGTTGTTTGTCTCTCGAAACGTGACAAAGGAACAGATGCAAGCAACATGCCAACTGTTAAGAGGATCTGCTCGGAGCACTATAGGAAGCCTGTTCAGAGCCACGTCACACCAGCCGCTCCAAGGAAGGACAACTGAGTTCATTTCCTGAAACCCCTACACATGCTCTGTTCACGTCAGGTTGGCACTGGCAATGCTCAGGCAACTCAGCACGCACACTCCTGCTTCCACCTTCATCCCTGTGGCTCCCCAGTCTTGAAGCCCCTTCCTGAACCTTGTTCAAATGCCACTGAGGTCCAGCCCAGCCTCACCGCACACCCCCTTCCCCGCAAGGTCTTTTCTGACCTCACGCTGCTCTCTCATCTCTTGACCAGACTACTTTACACAGTGTGTGTCAGTCTCTAAGCCCCTCATGGGGCAATCTCATCTCTGCAAACCATCTTGTTATCTCCTTCAGGGCTAGAGCCAAGGCTACATACCTTCGTATTCCCAAAGGAGTAGTTTTTCAAATCACTAGCTGCAAACCATGAGTGCACTGGTAAACAAATTTAATGGACTTCACCCAATATTTTAAAATACGAAATAAAAACTTACAAAAGACACTCTTGGGACAACTGAGGAACTATCAAGTGGATATTAGATGACATTATGAAATCTCTATTAATTTTCTTGGGTATAGTAATGGTGGTGTGGTTGTGTAGGGGAATGCCTTTTTTTTTTATTTGTAATTATTTTTATTAGACTTTATTTTTTGGAGTGGTTTTAGGTTCACAGAAAAATTGAGTGGCAGGTACAGCGATTTCTCATATATTCCCTGATCCCACACATGCGCAGCTCTCTCATTACCGATACCCCACGCAAGAGTGGTACGTTTGTTGTAATCGATGACCCTATACTGATACATCATTATCACCCAAAGGCTACAGTTTACATTAGAGTTCACTCTTGGTGGTGTACATTCTATAGGTTTGGACAAAAGTATAATGACATGTATCTACCACGATAATATCATACAGAGTAGTCTCATTGCCCTGAAATTCTTTTATGAATACCTTATTTTTAGGAGATGCATGCTAAAGTACTGAGGGGTAACTTACTTTCAAATGGATCAGCAAAAAATATCTGTGTGTGTATGTGTGTGCATGCACATGCATGTGAGCCCACACCTGTATGTATGAGTACACACACTCACACAGATCAAGCAAATGTGCCAAAATGTCATAACTGTTCCATCTAGGTGTAGTGTATATAGGTATTCGCTGTATTATTCTTCACATTTTTCTGTGTGTTTGAGAAGTTTTATAATAAAAAAAAGGAAGAAAATGAAACAGAAAAAGTCAGAATGTAGAACATGAAGTACTATTTGGTTCCAGGTATCTATTGATGCATGTGTGTGCTGGGTCACAACATAAATGCTTTTCTTACTGTGGGTTAAGGCTCAGAGCACAACAGCAACTTGCTGCTCCAAGCACACTGTAGCCTTTCAATGAACTATCTATTAATTAATCTCTAGAAGAACAGGATTTAACTAAAGAAGCAAGCTGAGAAATCATTTTGTCCTCAGTTACATCTCATTAACTCAAGCTGTGTCAAAACACCTAGGCCCTTTCCTGCCTTAGCACACTTGGGCCTAACCTTAACTCAGCCTTCAGGCCTTTCTTATCAGACAGTTTAATTACTCATCAGGAAGAGTACTTCCAGCTTTTCCCTTTGATGCCAGGAAGGGAAGTATGTTAACAGAAGACCCCAAGTAGGGTGATCAATTGTCCTGGTTTGCTTGGGATTGAGGTGTTTCCCAGGACTAGGGACATTTGGTGCCAAAACCATGACAGACCTAGGCAAACTGGGGCAGTTGGTCACCCTAAATCCGAGAGAAGACTTCAGGAGAACCTTGGACAGATCAGGGAGAGCTTCCACTGTTGTGCTGTGTGGCAGATGGCACCACTGCAGTGTGAGCAACAGGGCAAACCCAGCACAGGAAAAATTATGCCAAGACAGAGATCTCTCTGATGGCTTCCAAACAGCAACAGCAAATGCCACATTGCAAAGTGTCTCTCATGCCCTTAAACAGAATTGGTCTCTCATTATTCATCAACTAATCTGGAAAGCAAAGGACAAAGGACACTTACTGTAAAAACGTCATCATCACCAAGCTCAGCTTCATTATGGATGGTGGAAGATGATGTTGTTGATCCTAAAAAGACAAAAACATAATAAAAAGTGTTTCCCAAGAGGATAAGTTAAAACTAATCATTTAAAAAAAGGGTATTTTAACAAAACCATATTCCCTTTTGCATGTGAATCACGAGGAGAAACACGTTACCTGGGAATTAAGTGCTTTTAATTTATCTTCTTTAATTGACTCTTGCCAGGATGCTCCCTAAATTAACTTTGCCTACTATTGTTCCCCATTCATCTCTCAAACTTCTGCACTGGCCACTAGAGAATAAGCACACAGAGGGGCACCATGCGGATGGTAAGGGGAGAGCATGCTCACTTCTCCAAGGGGCACATTGAGTGGCTTTGAGGTCCCAGCTTTGTAGTGGGAAGACTAGACTGGAAGTCCCCATGTTAGCCCTGCCACAATCTTACCATATAAACTGGGCTCAGCTTCTCTGGCCTTTTCATTGTCCAATGAGGGAGTTTTTTTTTTTTTTTTATTGAGACAGAGTCTCACTGTGTTGCCCAAGCTAGAGTGCCGTGGCATCATCCTAGCTCACAGCAACCTCAAACTCCTGGGCTCAAGCGATCCTCCTGCCTCAGCCTCCCGAGTAGCTGGGACTACAGGCATGCGCCACCATGCCCGGCTAATTTTTTTCTCTATATATTTTTCGTTGTCCAATTAATTTCTTTCTAATTTTAGTAGAGATGGAGTCTCGCTCTTGCTCAGGCTGGTTTCGAACTCCTGAGCTCAAACAATCCGCCTGCCTCGGCTTCCCAGAGAGCTAGGATTACAGGCGTGAGACATCGCGCCTGGCCCCAATGAGGGAGTTTTGACTGAATAGCTCATATGCCTGTCTCCAGTTCCGAATTCATATATTGTATTCTAAATTCCAGGTTATGGGAGCCAGTGGCCAGACAAGGAGGTTTTCTCTTGCAATACCAGGGCACCAGTGAATTTTCTTCGTTTATCAGGCAAAATTAAGGCTCTTGTCAGAAAACCCAGCTTATTCCCATCATGGAACCAAGTGGTCTTTAGAATTCAATTTATTTACTTGTTCACCTTTTTCTTCATTTTGGTATGCAAATCAGCATAACTGTCCCACTTTACCCTGCAATACCACCCAGTAATGTGTGGACCAACTTAAAAGACCAAAAGAAAAACATTTAAATTTGCATAAGTGACAGATATACCAAAAGGGAAATTTATTTTCTACCTTTTCCTTTTCTTGGTTAGGTCTTCTAAAATGTACATTTAGAAAATATTTTGTTATTACATGAAATTGAAATTAAAAATTGCTCAGAAAGGGATGAAAAATACTTAAATTTCCAACAAGACATTGCAGGAGGAAAAACAATAGTCCCATAATACCCTGTGTGCAATCCCTATTGGTCAGTCTTTCAGGATTTTTCTTTCCTCTTTGAATTAGTCCAATTAATCAATATTTAAGGCAAGTTTGATAGAAAACAGCTAGGTAGAATATACACAGAGAAAAAAATTATAAGTAGGAGAATCAAATTCTGTGTGTACCTTCAGTGATTAAGTACATGGACACAATACAAACTTCTTTCAATAATATAGGAGATATTTTCTCTCTAAACATTTAAAAACTATTATTTAAAAACATTTTAGGCCAGGCATGGTGGCTCATGCCTGTAATCCCAGCACTTTGGGAGACTGAGGTGGAAGGATCACTTTAGGCCAGGAGTTTAAGACCAGCCTGGGCAACATAGCAGGACCCTGTCTCTACAAAAAATAGAAAAATTAGCTGGGTGTGGTTGTGTATGTCTATAGTACCAGCTACTCAGGAGGCTGAGGTGGGAGGACTCCTTGCACCCAAGAGTTCAAGGCTGCACTGTAGTGGGCTATGATGGTGCCACTGCACTCCAGCCTGGGTGACAGAGTGAGACCCTGTCTCAAAAAACGAACAAAATAACATTTGAAATATTTGCTACTTACGTAAGACCTATAAGGTGAACACTAGTTTTCATTATTCCTTTTAGCTATTCCATGGTTGCTGTTTATGGATTCACATTCTAACTAGAATTGTCTTACTACTGATTATAATCATGTTAAATGATTTTTCTAAGATTTGTTCTGCTCTCTTCCCCCAAAACCACTAAAGAAAATGATTTCAGAACACGTTTATTTCTTAAACAAATGAAACATACATTCTTTTGTGACTCACTTCCCCAAATTCTGAATTTGACATTAACACGCCTTGCTTCATATTTCCTTATTCACAGGGCCCTGGCTATGGCACCTTTAACCCTCTGATTTGATAACAGAATGTGAAGTGGAGAATTTGTGTGTTTGCGTCTGTGGACTCCAGCCAAGCCCACCACGGGAACGGACTGCCCAAGGGCCTTCCAGGTGCTTGATCAGCTGTAACACAACGCCTACTACTCACCCATAGACCAAGGCCTAAACTGAACCAGGGCTCCAGAGGTCACAGATCCCTTTCCTTTTCAGTGGCAGCCATACACCCCAGGCCTCTGATTACAGGAGGACAGTGGGTAGGCCTGGAGCCTTCTGGGCCCGCCAGAATCCATTCTCTACTTCTGAGCCAAGACAGACCAGACCAAAGCCATTTTAAAAGTCAGGACAAGGTGAAATCAATCAAAAACACATGCATATGGCAATCCAGAACCTGCCTGCTTATTTTTTTCACAACAGAGTCTAAAAACCAATTGAGATCATTTCTTACTCTGAAAGCCATCTCCTTTCCCCTACACTGTCATTTTAATTCCTCTCCCTGGGTGCTCCAAAAGTTTTGGCATCTACTGACCTGGCCCCAAACCCTCCCACAAATAAACCACAAATACATGATGGCAGACTACTGGAAGTAAAGAATTTGTCTTATTTCTGTAGTCCCACTAACAATGCAGCAACAAGTTCAATACCTTCTATAAGGTCTTCGATTGCTTTCCTCACTCCCCTGTCAAAGGCTCGAGCATCAGCAGGGCTTTGGAAAGTCAGTCCAAACTTCCTATTATCGACCTTCCAGTGATGAAACGTTGGATTGGCTTTGGTGTAGACCAAGTCCTTCCTTACATAGCATTCCAATACCACCTGAAGGATGGAAACACACAGGCTGGTTACTTGTGGAACGGCCAGGATGATGTCTGGTTACAGAAGTCTAATTAGGAACCATCACTGGTGGCAACTAATGAGAACCCTCCATCCCCTGCCTGCACACATCTGTGAGTCTCGCTATCTCAGAAGAAGCCTCTGCTTGCCTGTGGACCACTGGTCCCTTGGTGTTGGGGATCGCCACTATCCTGGCTGTAACTCTATCACCATGCTCTTCTTCCTCCCATTTACTCCCCTTCCACCTGCCCCTGACTGTGGGGCACTAAGCTGATGCCCAGGTCTTGGGTCTTGCACTGTTCCAGTTTTACTGCTTCTATGTCGGGGGCCTTTGTACTGATGGCTCTGAGTCTTCCCTCCCTGTCCAAATGGGTGACTCCCCATGACCCCAAATTCAACAAGTTAAAAAATTAACTAGTTCGCTTTGAAATTTCTGCCACTAGTCTCCTCTCCCAACTTCTCCCTATCTGGCAATGCCGACCTCTCTCTGCTCATTCTGGCTCAAGGTCTCTGTGGTCACCTTTGCCGCCTCAGCTTTCTCTATCCCCTGGATTACCAATCACCAAGTCCATACCATTTTTCCTTCTGCATTTTTTATATCAACCCCATTTCAGCTGCTGCCACCCTTAACTTTACATTAGGATTACTATTACAATCTCCCAGTTTCTAGCAATTTAGTCTCAGAACTGGCTTTTACTGAGCTATAACTTTGAGTAGATTGATCTTTTCATCTCTAAGATGGAAATAATACCAGTGTTATCAATGAGATCATGAACATGCTCTGAAAACACTAAGTAAATGAGAAACTCCATAGGGTCACACTCATTGTCCAGTGTATTTCTACCATCAGGTTTTTACTTCTGCATTTACTCCAGTTCTCCCTCTTGTCATCTTCACAATTCAGTACCTGATTTTATATTATACTCCAGTGGTTTCACATGTACTGGTCTTGCTCCCCAGCTAGACTACAAAAGGTCAAGATGTATTATAAAATAACTCCCTGTGTCTAACACAGTGCTGTTGTTGATAAAGACAAGGTTATTTAATATTACAGAATAAAAGAAGCACTAAAATTACATGAATGTAAACTTCATTCTTTATTGAAAAACCCAAACTGTTTACAATATTTATTCCTATAGCTTCATTATAAACACCACAATGATTCTGCTAAGTATTAGTAGCCTTGATCTTGTTCTGGCAAAGCTCTGCATTTAACACAATGTGATCTTATTAATTTAGACTAAGTGAAGGGTAAGAGTAAAGGCCTGTCTCAATTACTAAAATTTAAATTAGAGAATATCTTTAAATGAATATAAATTTCAAGATTACATCAAAGCAAAAAGAAATTAAATGCTCCCTAATAAATGTTCCCTAACTTAAATAAATGAGAATAATATTCAAATTGGTATACCAAATAGCAGTCCCAAGCAGTTAACTTTATTACATTGTATTGAAATAGGACAACAGTTCCCTCACACGATTCTATTTATGATTAAATTCCTTATTATGGCCATTTTCCCCTAAGAATAGTGCAATGATTAAATGTCAGCCCAGCCCCATTCCAAACTGGGGAAATCCAAATAACCAAGGATTTAACTAACAAATGTTAGCTATTTTAGAATTTAATAGTCTCAATATAAAGTCTTGAAATAAACTTTTTGTAAAAACAAAGACTCCAAGTTTCTCCGTACTTTTAGGGTGAAAAAAATTAAGTCTTTGGTTGACATTTTCTAACTGTAAAATTATTCCAAAGATACATTATATTTTCTTAGAAAAGTTTAAGTAAAATAAGTTAAGCCACCTAAGTTAAGCAAGGAAGGGAATCAGATACCATCTCTTTATGTCCTCTGAAGCAAAATAACATCTTTATGTTATCTAACAATAAAAATGAAAAAGTTCAGATGCTTTGATCTTCATAACAGATATAAACCCTCTGGTGAAGTTTTGGCACACATACCATTAGGCATTAGCTTAAAACTTGAGAAAGACTTTTAAAAATACCTTTTTAAGTAAGATGCATGAGAAGAAAACAAGTGATTATATTCTTTGCAGGCTTTAAAAAAATCTACATGAGAAATACACATTGTAAAAGATTTCAGTAATTTAGATGAACATATGAAGGCTCCATTCTTACTTATCTCTCCCTCCCATCCTCAACACCAGAGGATTTCCAGAGAGGTGGGCATCTAGGTAATTTGTAACTGATCACTTTTACAGACAATGATGCCATTTACATCCTTATATACTGCAAGTGAAAATTAGAATTTGGGACAGTTTCCCAATATTTGCAGACTTTTCTAATGAGTCAGTGGCAATAAGAAATGTGATTTTTTGATATTATAGAATAAAAATGTGTCAACATTTGGAATATCTGCTTAACTCAGTCAACCATTATTTTCCTGATGATCAATGCATGATGTTACAAAATCAGATGTGAGTAAAAAAGATCCAAAGTACAAGATAAAACAGTGGATTTTAATGTGACAGAGTACGAAAAGTTCATTGAGATGGTTTCAGATTCCACATTTAAGAAACTACTACAGGTAGAGTTTTAGTGTAGTATCAAAGAAGAATATAATTGTCTGAAAAGGCTATTAAAATATTTCTCCCTTTCCAACTACATATCTGTGTGAAGCTGGGTTTTCTTCATATATATCAACCAAAAGTAACATATTACAACAGATTAAAAGCAGGAGTATATATTATTATGGAATTTAGCTATTTTATATTAAGCCAGATATTAAAGACATTTCCAAAAACTTAGATAAAACAATGCCACTGCTCTCATAAATTACTTTTGTTCTGGAAAACAGTTACATGGTTATTCGTCAAAAAATATAACTTATATTAACAACACTGTTTAAGAGTTTTTTAAAATTTCAGTTTTAATTTCTAATTTGGTAAATATTAACAGCTATAAGTTACCAAAACAAAAGCTCTTTGGGGTTCTCAATAAATTTTTAGAGGGTAAAAGGATCCTGAGATCAAAAAAGTTTAAGAACTGTTGATGTCCATAAATCTTTGTATATAAGTCTTTTTCTATAGGATGGTGTTCTAGATGCAAACTGCAGTAAAACAATATGCACATTTAAAATTAAAATTCTTGGCCAGGTGAAGTGGCTCACCTCTGTAATCCTGGCACTCTGGGAGGCCAAGGCAGGAGGATTGCTTGAAGCCAGGAGTTTGAGACTAGCCTGAGTAAGAGCGAGAACCTGTCTCTACCAGAAATAGAAAAAAAGCCAGGCGTAGTGGCGCATGCCTGTAGTCCCAGCTACTCGGGAGGCTGAGGCAGGAGGATCCCTTGAGCCCAGGAGTTTGAAGTTACATGAGCAATGATAATGCCACTGTACTCTAGCCAGGGTGACAGAGAGTCTATCTTAAAAAATAAAAATTAAAATTAAAATCCTGCCAAATTGCCTTTCAAAGAGCTTTGCCAGCTCAAATTCCCACGAAATGTTACGTGAGAATGTTCCCTGACCTACACACGGACAACTGGAATGATCAATCTTTTAGATTTTGTGATTGATCTTCACAAGGTGGTTTCTCATAGGATTTGTTTAAGGAGTAAACCTCTCTAATCCGTCTAAAGTAAGATGCAACTCAGAAAATTTTAATTTACATATAATTTCTTAGGCTTGTTGCCAACTTAACGAAACATTATCTGAATGACTATTTGTGAATGCGCGTCTGGAAGAGAAACTATTCCGACAGAAACAATGGCAGTTCAGTTCACAGGCCTCAATAATATGTAGTTAAAAACAAACAAACAAACCAATAAACAAACAAAACCCCCCATAACATGCTGAATTCTAGAACTGTACTACACTAGAAAAACTACTAGCAACACTATTTTTATCAGAAACAGCATTTCATGCTCTGGTTGGAATACTGGGAACTTGATACCACTCATCCAGTGTATCCTTAAAACGATCTCCATCCTCTCCTTACCGTCCCCCCGTTTGTGGGGGTTCCCTCAACAACCCACCCTCTCCAGTGGGCACAAGCACTGCACACAGAAGCTTGAGAGGCCAAAGGAAGAGTCACCATATCTGTGCGTGTGTGTGTGCGTTTGTGTGTGTGTGTCTGTCGTGGGGATGGGGTAGGAGGAGGGGTTACACATCACTGAGTACAGGAACCCAGAATTCCCCAGAGTGTGAAACAGGCAAGGGGAAGGATGGAAAGATGGAGAAGTAGAGCTGGCAGTATGGGTGTGTGATTTAAGTACTAGCAAATATAAAAGCCCAGAAATGTGGAGTCACAGAATGTAAACGGGATGAGGAGATGAAGAAACATGATGGAGGAGGGGACGAGGTACGCTTTTAGGGTTGTATTGTCCTTTACAATGGCAACGACAGAAGCAGGTTCACAACTCCATGGGGGTGGACAGAGGACTAGGACTGCCCTATTAGCAGGAAGAGTTAGCATGAAGAAACTAGGCTTTGGCTTCCCAAAGAAATGAGCTCTAAGGCAGGCTCTGCCAATGACTGCATGTCCCAGACTGAGGAAGTGGACCATTTCTTTTTTTTTTTTTTTGAGACAGAGTCTCACTCTGTTGCCCGAGCTATAGTGCCGTGGCGTCAGCTTAGCTCACAGCAACCTCAAACTCCTGGGCTCAAGCGATCCTCCTGCCTCAGCCTCCTGAGTAGCTTCGCCTACAGGCACGCACCACCATGCCTGGCTAATTTTTTTTTTCTATGTATAAATTTTAATTGTCCAGCTAATTTCTTTCTATTTTTAGTGGAGACGGGGTCTCGCTCTTGCTCAGGCTGGTCTTGA